GCTTTATGCTTGGAATCTTCTCAGATTCATTTCCAAACTACTTTTTTGAGACTAATTTTTTCTAGGACATGTTTTAATTACAGGGGCTTTTTCACATGCTGGTTTAGAAAGCAGGGTATTTCATGACCTCCATGCACTACAAAGCTCCTACAATGTAAGTTATGAGGGTAATACAAGATTAAGAATGAAGGATTCGGGAATTCTCTTTCTGACTCTTTCACAAATTCCTTGTGAGACTGGTGTAAAATTGGTGCATTCGTGTCCTCAATTTTCCTGTCTGTACCTGCATCTTTCTGACAAAAAAATCGTTGCTGCACAAGGTTCCTCCTGAAGGAGAAATCTGTAATCCTAATTAGGAGATACATTGGAATACAGCAGTAATTTAAACATCATACTTTAAATTGCAGCAACACCGCCCTGGCTCTCCTGCACCGTGGCAGGCAAGAGTTTAAGGATGGGGATTAGCTTCTTCATGCCTGGTAGAGCTCTATCTCCAAAACTGGACTATTATTTAAACAGATATAAATACCTTCAGTACATCTTATCTTTCAATCTACCCTGCCTTCCAGCCCCCACAAACTGAACTCTTGTTGGAAGCTTTGTTATTAAGAAAGCAAGCAAGAAAGCAAGCAAGCAAGAAAGCAAGCAAGAGAGAAAGCAAGAAAGAAAGAGAGCAAGAAAGAAAAGTATTTGAGGACATCTTAAGTCCTCCAGCAGTTCCACTCTCAACAGCACTGGGCTCTGACTGGGAACACTGTTTGTAAGTTTGGGTAACATTGCATGGCCTACAGCACAACAAGAAAATAGGATCTAACGATGTGGATAAGTTTCGTAACTATACAAATAGTAGAATAAACAGCCACGGGAGGCTGGAGTAATCACCGTCACGAGGGACAGTCAAGACAAGATCTAACGTCGATCTTGCCTGCAAGGACTTGAGTCATGCTGGTGCAGGAGCTCACCCAAGAAAATCTATTTTAGGGTCTCATAAAAACAGCTGAAATGCACTGCACAAATCAAAAAGCAAATGGGGGAAATCTGTATCAGGACCAACAGTGCCCTGCTCACGACTGCACGGCTCCTGGGGGCGCAGGGAATGTGTAACAAATGTCAGGGAGAGCTCCAGCTGATGGGCCCGCAGGAGGCTCTGATCTTGAGAGTCAAAAAAAGCAGAACAGTTCTTTCAGTAGAAAACATGTTTTGCTTAAAGAAAGACTGGAAACAAGCAGCAAATTGCAGATTTGTCCTGCAGCCCACTGCTGTTTGTATTGGAATGTATAGGAGCAAATTCAAGGCCACTGTCTTTATACTCTTTGTGCTCAGCTGTCAGAGCACAGGCAGTTAAGGAGTTTCTTTACCAGGCACAGGGAATCGGGATCTAAAAAATTCACATTTAAATTTGGCCTAACAGGAAAATGGAAAATGCTGAGTAAGACATGATCATTTGCCCTACTCCCTCCACATAACCAGCCTGAGACTGTTCACTTCTTACAGACCCTGACATGGCAGCACACAGTGGGGAATAACAGAGCTGGGAGCCCCAGCAGGGCTGATGTGTTCAGCAGCAGGGAGAGCCTTGGATCTCTCCAAAACAAAGTTCTGGCCTGCTACAAACTTCCTCCTCCTCTGCCACCCCCCACTTGTCCATCACTTGCCCCCAGAAAATGCACACACACAGAAGCAAACAGTCCTCATCAGAGAATTCTATCTGCAGTTTTTAGAAAAATGTCTCAAGAGCAAAGGGAAGGGGGTTGTTCAGGAGCCTCTCACCTGGCTGGGTCTCATGGGAGCTTCCTGAGCAATGACCGAAATTACCGACATCCAACAGAAATGCTACTTTCTCATGTTTATTCCTGTAAACTACAAACATAAGAAATGCTGAATCATAGAGAATAGAAACTCTGTAAAGAAAAAAAACCCCAAACACAAACAAAAACTCATTTAAAGCTTCCTCCCTTACTTTTTCTTCCCCCCTCCCACTTCAGACTTGGTGTTATTTGCCAAGGATTGGTCATGGTTTGGATAGCACATCTTGCTCTACACGTTCAGAACAGCATGAAGTGCAAAAAAAACCCCAACACAAACACCTCCTCCCCAAACAACACCCAAGCGGCAGCTAAACCAAGTGATTAGAGGAAATAAAATGAGGCAACAAGAACTGGCTAAAGCTTCCAGCTCTGCTCCTTGCTGGGTTTCTCTTGAGGGTTTTGGTTTTGGTTGTTGATTTTTTTTCCTTTCTCTGAGTCAGAGAAAGCTAAAAGACCAACAAAAATCCCTATCCCTGATCACAGCAATGAGCCAGAATCAGCTGGAATTTCAACCCTGTGTTTAATCTAACTTTAAACATGCCTTCAAAATAAAACAAGCTACTTTTTTTTTTTTTAACCTAGTCATAAAGTTTATTAAAATTGTTCATTAATGCTTCAAATGTAGCAAGAATGCATAGATCCCAAAATATACATATGTATTTTCTTATAGAAATAGATTATTCTTTATAATAAAAAAAACTGTAAGAACATCTTTAACAGATTACTCAATCCATGACTGACAGTTACACGAGATTGCATCATGTACACAGCATTCCCAGCCATGCTTAAAGGATTGCATCACTTTGCCCTTGCTCTCCTCTCGCTCTTTTAAATAACCCCAGCGCCC